GACCCTGAGAGCCCGATGGCCCTTGCCCCCTGTCCCGCGCCCCCTTCGCCCCTATACCCAAGCCTGGGCAGCACCATGGCTGGAGCCGGCTCTGACAGGAGCCGGGCCGCCGGGCGGGCGGGGCCAGATGATGCCCACGGCGCGGCGGCGCGGAATGATGACGCACGAGCAGCTGGGTCCCGGCCAAGGGGGTCGGGGATTAGGGCGGAAGTGGGCGTTGCCCAGGGGGTTTGGGCTCTCAGGGTCCTGTTGTCCTAGCAGAAGATTCGTGGAAAGCTGGCCTTTCAAAGCTCCCCACCTCTGTAGCCAGGCGTGGTGGTTCAGGCCTGCGGTCTCAACACTCTCAAGCCTGATGCAGGAGAATGAAAATCAATGTAAGTTTGAGCTGCATAGTGAGACCCTATCCCTGCTCATTCAATCCCAGCACCTAGGATTCAGAATCAGGAGGATCACCTCCCTCCAGATCAAGGCCAGCCTAGGCATCAAATTGAGTCCCAGACTATCCAGGGCTGCTGAGAGAGACTCTGTTTCAAAAGAAAAAGCTGGGCCAGCAAGATGGCACAACGGGTGGAGACACTTGCCGCAAGGTTAGACGACCTGAATTATCTCCAGGACCTGTTTAGTTGAAGGAAACAATTGATTCCCACAAGATGTTCTCTGACTTCCACGCATGCACTATGGTGGCGCATGTGCGCCACACACAATAAGAAATGTTGGGGGCTGGAGAGATGGATCAGCGGTTATAAGAACACATATATTCTTGCTGAGTACCTGGCTGCGGTCGGTTCCCAGTAACCACTGCTCCCAAACCACGCATAACTCCAGCTCCAGGAAATCCTGGAGTCTCTTCTGACTCCGTGAGTATCAAGCACGCACGTGGTGCACATACATCGAGGCAAAACCTATACAAAATAAATATATCATAAATAAATGTTTAAAAATAAAGTAGCCAGGGGCTGGAGAGGTGGCTCAGAGGTTAAGAGCACTGGCTGCTCTTCCAGAGGTCCTGAGTTCAGTTCCCATATGGTGGCTCAATACCATCTGTAATGAGTTCTAGTACCTTCTTCTGGCCTGCAGACATACATGTAGAACATCATATACATAATAAATAAATCTATAAATAAATAAAGTAGCCAGGCTGGGCATGGTGGCGCTCACCTTTAATCCCAGGACTCAAGAGACAGAGGCAGGCAGATCTCTCTGTGTTAGAGGCCAACTCTGCCAGCTCTGTCTACAGGGCAAATTCCAAAACAGTCAGGGAGACTTAGAGAGACCCTGTACCAAAAATACAGTTGTTAAACTGGGACTAGTGGTGCATGCCTGCAATCCCATCGCTCTGGAGGTAGAAGCAGTAGGGTTGGGAATTTGAGGCTACCCTCTGCTATGCAGAGTTGAAAACCAAGTTGGCCTACATGAAATTTCCCTAAAGAAAAGAGTCGATGCCAACAAAACAAATAAAAAAAAAGATTTTCAGGCTAAAATGGACATGGTAGTGTATGCCTTGAATCTCTGAACTTGGGAGGCAGAGGGAGGTGGATCACTGGGAGCTCAAGGCCAGCCTGGTCAACAGAGCAAGTTCCAGGTCAGCCAGGGCTGTTATATAGAGAAACCCTGTCTGGGAAAAAAAAAATTCCAGACCAGTCTGGGCTACATAGTGAGACCCTGTCACAACAAAACAAAGCAAATGAGAATGCAGGAAAAGAACATGTTTCATGGAAGACAGTGATTAAACTGTCTGTGGCTAATCATGGGCAGGGACAAAAGCACTCACACAGAAGGAAACACAGCCTGCTCAATAAACAAAGAGGCCTGGAGAGACGGCTCAGCAATTAAGAGCAATTCCAGAGGTCCTAAAAATTCAAAATCAGCAACCACATAGTGGCTCACAACCATCTGTAATGAGATCTGGTGCCCTCTTCTGGCCTGCAGATGTACATGCAGACAGAACACTATATGTATAATAAAAAAATAAAAAATGAAAAAAAAAAGATTGAGTTTGGCTGGCTTAAGTTTCTCAGTTGCCTACCTGTGACTCCCCAGCATTTGCCTGACAGATCGCCAGCCAACTTCTTTTTCTTTTGATATAGAGTCTCACAGAGCCCAGGCTTGCCATAAACTTTGCTGCAAGGTTCCATTGAGCATTCTTTTTCTTTAACTTTAAACTTCTGATTTTCCTGTCTCTGCCTCGCAAATGTTGAGGTTACAGGCATTTGCCACCGCATCTGGTTATCAGCAGGGCTGGGAGCAGAGTCCAGGCCTTCACAAATGCCAGGCAAGCACTCTACCAACTGAGCAATATCTCCAGCTACAGCAACATCGCCTGTTAAAGGCGTAGTAGATCAAGGTTATGTCACGGACAGTTTCGATCTTGGCTAGTGAGCTGACACTTAATATCATGGATAATGAGAAGCTGGCGATAGCTGTAGTTGGAAAAATGAATCAGAGAACACGATGGGGAAGGCAGACACTGACAGACCTAGTACCTGGGTAGCTGGTTAAGGTTTTCAGTGGTCCAAGAAATGGACTAATAGGGTCAGGTATCATAGAGCACACTTTTAATCCCAGTGTTCTGCAGGCAGAGTCAGGCAGATCTGTGTGCATTAGATCCTGTTTTACATAGTGAGTTTTGGGTCAGCGAGGGTGAATATACGAAGATCCTGACTTTTTTTTTTAAAAAAAGTGTGTGTTGAGGGTGGTGCTGTTGGTAACAGGAAACCTAGTCAGAAAGGAAACACATGCCAGGCCCTCTGCAGAGGCTGAGGCAGGAGGATCAGGTGTTGGTTAGTTGGCTGGTTTGGGTTTTTGTTTTTGTTTGCTTGACACAAGGTCTCATTGTGTAACTCAGTTATCCTGGAATTCACCATGTAGACCGGGCTGGCCTCCAACTCACAGGGATCTGCCTGCCTCTGCCTCCTGAGTGCTGGAATTAAAGGCGTGTGCCACCACTGCCCATCCAAACAAGTTTTTTTAAAGGGGCTGAAGACGTTGAAGACATAGCTCAGAATTAAGAGCACTTGCTGCTTTTGTAGAGGATCAGGGTTCAGCACCCATTGGATGGTTCACAACCATCCATAATTCCAGTTCCAGGGAATTTGATTTGCTCTCCTGACTTCTTTGGACACCAAACACACATGCAGTATGCAGACATACAGAAAGGCAAAACACTCAGACACATAAAGTTAATAAATCTGATTTTTTTTTTTTGAGTCAAGTTCTCACTATGTAGTCCTGACAGGCCTGGAACTCTCTGCGTGGACCAGATTGGCCTCAGATCCACAGAGACTGCCCTATCTCTGCTTCCCAAGGGCTGTGATATGTGGCCATGTCTTGTTTTGTGAAGTGCTAGAAATGGGGTCCAGGCCTCCTTTGGGAGTGCTTATCTCCAGCTATAATACCCGATTAAAGGCATGTACCACCAGGTCTGAATTTTATTTTATTTATTTGTTTGTTTATTAGAGAAATGTTGTTTAATTGTGAAGCTTGGCACACTCCCAGCACCAGGACAGGCATGGGGTCGAAGCAGCAGGTACGGCTGGGTGACCTCACATTGGGTCACAAGAGCATGAGGAAGGTAACAGTCAAACAGAAGAGGCCCATGGTCTCTGACAGGGCAAAGCCCAGAATGGCATAGAGGAGCTGCTGCCTGAGAGAGGGGTTCCTGGCATAGACAACAATCAAGGGGCTAAGCTCTGTTCCAAGGTCAGCCCCGGATCGGGTCACGCCAACTGAAGCAGCCCCAGCATCAATAAACTTGGTTGCTGAATCAATAAACAGCACTGGTCTGGAATTTCTGTCCGGCCATCTGGAGTGGGGAGCTGCTGCAGGAAGTCAGTTTAGATTGAGTCTCTGATGTACTCAGGAGGGAGGGAGTGGAAAACCTGCCTGACTCCATTTTGAAGGCAGGAGCCCTGGTTATTTGTTTTATTTTTGTTTTTTGTATATTATTTTGTTTTGTTTTTTGTTATTGTTGTTATTTTGTATTGTTTTTGAGACAGGGTTTCTCTCTGTGTAGCTTTGGAGCCTGCCTCTGCTTCCTGAGTGCTGGGATTAAAGGCATGCACCACCACTGCCCAGATGTTTAATGGTTTTTCGAGACAGGGTTTCTCTGTGTAGCCTTGGCTGTTTTGGAACCCACTCTGTAGACCAGGCTGACCACAAACTCACAAGATCCGCCTGCCTCTGCCTCCTGAGTGCTGAGATTAAAGGCTGCCGCACTACTGCCTCTTCTGTCATGGCCACCACTACCCTGCCTAAGGCGGGTTTTCAATTGAAATTGGAATTTTATTGTTTGTTTGTCTTGTTTCAGTGGTGTCTAGTACTGAACTGAGGGACTGAAGAGATGACTCAGAATTTAAGAGTTCTTGTTGCTTTTATAGAAGACCCAGTTTCAGTACCCAGCATCCACATGGTGGCTTATAATCATCTTTACCATCTTCTGAACTCCATGAGTAGCCAGACATATACATGGTGCAGATACATACACGCAGGCAAAACATTCATACACATAAATCAGGGGGAAAATGTGGTCTCTCTTTGTAGTCTTGGCTAACCTGGAATTCGTTACATCAACCATGACTCTCCCAGAGCTCTGCCTGCCT